TGTAGGATATAAACACAGTTTTAGTGATTTTCACCTACCACCTAATAACTACCTTTATGGAAAATTTATGGATTTTAGAATCAGGGCGTTAATGCAGCAAAAAGTAACTTTTTTTACAATTTTATATACATAGATATAATCTATATCTATGTTTATAGTAGGTAGGTATGCTTTGAAAAATGTCCACAACTGAAATAAACAAAATAAAAACTTTTCCTCCATCACTATAATTATTCTCATAACCTAGTATTAATAAGCCCCAGGCATAGAAAAAAGCCACATGGAACTTCATTATATTTATTTTGTACAGCTTCATTCATGCGCTTTTTTATGGCAAAATATGCATAGGTCATATTAAGTTACATATCGTAGGAACTCATTTAAAAAATCCCACTCCTATTCCCCATAGCAACCTACATTTCATAATTAATAAGTAAATAATCCCGTAATAAAGGCCGCAATAATAAAAGCGCACTCATAAAACAATTTTACCCCCTTGAATGCTAATACCCAGAGACACTCATGCCATAGACGAGGCCGAGGCAACAACGACGGCTGGCTGGCTGGATGGATGGATGCGTAAAGGGAAAACAGCAGGATTTAATTGAATTAATTTTCAAGGAAAGTTGAGATGGTACAGCATGGTACACCCGCTCACGCAGCTCGTGGAAAATGATGGAAAGAAACAAAAAATGCGCGTAGGCAGAGGAGGACTCATATCAACGTATATTATTATTATTCCAAAATATGAAGTGAATATCTTGACAGGGAAAATTAGCGATGTATAGGACATAATGAAAATACATAATTAGAAATAAATGGAAGCGGTCGTAGTAGTAGGAGGCAGACAGCCAGGCAGTTTGGTGCTCCGACTAGAGATGACAGGAGTGAAAAAACGTACAAGCTTATAGAAATATAATCGCCAAACAATGGCGAACTATGAAATTCCAATTCAAATAACAATGCAATGCATGAAGCTTATCAAAAATATGCAGACAACAAAAGGTCGTTAGACAGGCAAGACAGCAGAATCAGCAGCAGCAGCAGTAGACTGGCTGTCAGCAGTTGGATGGATGGTAATTTTGTTGTTTGATGAGTTGGCTGGTTGACGGTCGACAACAATGCTAAAAATTTGTGGCTGTCAAGGTAATCCATAACAGACAGCCATCCAACCAGTCAGCCAGCCAGTACAGCAACCTGTTTTAATTAACATTGGAATTTCATATTGTTGTCCATAATTATCACAAAAGGATGAAGTGAATGGTAAATTATTAAATGAAAAACTCTCCCCCCTCTCTCTCACTCTCTGGCTTCACCTTTGTCCCCCAGTTCCAGTCTTTCGAAAATAATTCCTTTCACATAAATAGCATAAATACTTTGAAAGTATTCATGCCACACCGGAAATGGAAAACAATAGATTTCATTTTTCCCCTATTTTTTGGTAGACAACACAAAGTAGCTTTACCAGCAACTTGAGACTTCTTGTAATACTTAACCGACTTTCCTGGTTTTCTTAGGGCTTTTATTATTTATCGACCCGGGAATGTTTTACAAGGAAAAGGTAATGGAATACAGTGGGTAAGAAAATGCCATGACGAAATTGAAGAAAAACCGTTGAACGGAAATGTGTATAGGTTCATAAGTGACATCATTCGAAGAAAATTATCCACTTTAAGACTGGAAATCTGCCTACGAAAAAGGAGAAAATCGTAATAAAGACATAGATCCCAAGGCAATAGGCTATGAGCTTGGCATTAGAAGCGTACAGTATTCTGGATCAACTATCATGCCAAACTTAAGGAATACAATAATATATCAAGGGCAACTAACCACATTTCAAATAATAAAGATTCTATTTAAATTTCATTCGGAAACCGAAATAAAGGATGAAAAATTGTGCAAAAAAGTGGAAACTATTGATGACATGTAAGAGGTTTCTAATCAACGCTAATTTCTCACTAAACATTTCGGTTGAAATGGAGAAATGAGTAGAGAAAAAAAATTGTCACAGAAACAGCATCTTTTTATACCCTCAGCCCTATGGGTACAGAGGTTCTATATCATTCGATACGGCCAAAACGTGTCTCATCGAAATAACGGGTTTAGACCGAAGGTCTCCTTGGACCCAATCCGTTTCAGGACATTTAGCGTCCATCTAGCGATAACTCTCGAAGGGAGTATCAGATTTTGTAAAAATTTGGTATATAAAATATTTTTATTGAACATAGATCGAGTTCGGATATGGGAAATATCGGCCCACTCACTCTGGCACCTACCCAACATAAATTCAACATAAAAAAAAACAGTAACGAAAATCTTAAAGTCGGGCGGGGCCGATTTTATGATACCCTACACCACTTTGCTAATTTAGTTGAGCTCCACATAACAATTAAACGTTTTTATGGGAGAATTCAATCATACACCCTATGATTATAATTATAATTTAAAATTCAAAGGACTAAATATGGCGAAGCAATTGCACCTTTTAAATTCGGACTTGTATTACCCATTTGGTGAAAAATTAATTTGAAATCAGATAAAGATATATATGGGAGCTATATCCAAATCTGAAACGATCTCGATAAAATTTGTCAAAGATATTTCTGAGCTGTATTTGATATATTTCCCCGAATATCGTTGTTACGGAGTGCACATTACGGGTGTGGGTAACAAATACAACAAATCGGATGAACAATATATATGAGAGCTATAGCTATATCTGAACCGATCTTCACCAAATTTGACATACTAGCTTCTAGACACAATTCGGTCGTAAGTGCTAAATTCCATCCCATTTGGGCAAATATTAGACGTTTGGTGCACAATAAAAAGCAAATCGGACGAAGATATATATGGGAGCTATATATAAATTTTTACCGATTATCTCCAAATTCAATTGGGTTCGTCCTTGGGCCAAACAAATGTTGTTTGGAAAATTTCATCTCAATCGGATAATAAATGGGACAAGAATACATGGACAGACGGACTGACATGCATAAATTAACTCAGAAAGTGATTCTATGCAGATCATCAAAATGAACTATGGGTCTATCTCGTTTCCTTTTGCCTGTTACAAACAAATGCACAAAGACATAATACTCTTACCACCTTGTGGTGTAGGGTATAATGGATAGATTCAGTTCTACTCCTAAACTCAACTCTTTCCCTATACTTAGAATATAGTTACATTTTTGGAATATTTTATTGTACAGATTTTCAAATTCACCTATTTATCTTAACGCCACACCTAGGTCTGGTATAAAGACCCCTACAAAAGGATCAATATTTTCAATATCCTTGTAACTCAAAAAACACGAAAATAATATCCAATTCCATTCAGACTTGGCACATCTCAATATTTCCATCAACACAAGAACTGCTATAAAGATGGTACAGATCGGGACATTTCTTCTGGTACCTCTCCCACAAAGGGTCAAAGTTTTTAATAACCAAAACAAACATAAAATCCGAAATAAGCATCCGGTTCTCTTCATATTTTACAAATCCCATTATTTCTAGTAACACAATATTTGCTGTGAAGATAGAATGTATGTATCGGTCCACCCCTTCTGGTACCTCCCCTCCCACAAAGGGTCAACATTTTGAATATCAATGAAAACGCGAAATAAACATCCCATTTTTCCCATACCTATATTTTTATATGTATTAGATGAAGCATGAAAATGGAATACTGCGGTCGACTATACCTGGTGCCTCACCCACATGTTAATATTTTCTAAATATTGTCAAATGTGTCGTGTAAAGTGAAGAAAGTTACCAACCTGTTACCAATTCACCCCTTATTTATATCGAATTTATTTAGGTCCGATTCGACCATTCCCTGAGAAACCACTCCATAGAGGGTCAAAAGTTTGAATAATCATAACAGAAGTCATAATATATTAAAACAATCGAACAACGAATGAGGGTATTAGTCTGTCGGCAGAACCGATTGATATTTTTATACCCTACAACACTATATGTTGGAAAAAATTATGTAAGACCTGGAAATATATATGGATCTTCCTACCTCGCCGAGCTAAGTCGATCTAGCGATGTATGCCCGTTCGTCTGTCCATGTTAATTTGTAATCAATTTACAGGTCGCAATTATGGTTCGATCCTCACGAAATTGAAAATGGAGGTGGGGTTAGGGTCAGAATAGAACCCTATTGTTTTTGGAGATGATTGCAAAATATCTAGAGGTTGAAATGGACCAAAACTTCCTGATTTTGCAGTTACTCTATAGGCCACAATTATGAATCGCGAAAATTAAAATGGAGCTAGAGTTTAGGACTGGGCAGAAGCCTACCAATCTGGGCGGCAATCGGCGTACAATATTTAGCGGGTTAAATAGACCCTGTCTTTTATGTAAGAAAATACGAATATTGCCACTCAACCGCGAATATTTTTTACCCCAGCCATATCACAATACAAAAGATCACTTCTGACCATTATGATAGCCAAGAAATCGGATATAAAGCATGCGATTTTTTCAATTTGACTTTTTTGTACCGTATTTTTTTTAAACAACTCTACGTTTTGAGGGTTTAATATTCATGTCGCAATTATTGTCCGATTCTCACAAAATTTTGCATGAGGGTAGAGTTACGGTCAGAATTTAAGCCTATCGTTCTTCAGCTGTATATTAAGGGGTTAAAATGACCTAAAAAATGTAAAATTTTCTTGTAGTGTTTGTTGTAGGTTATCACATGGTCGGCCCGCACGTCTATAGCCTTTACTTACTTCTTTAACCTGTTTTTTTTTAAATAAAAATAGATTGACGGATCCAAATGTTCTTGCAATATTCTGGGCATGTATGGCAAATTCCAGCACTATGTGACCCTAGTGTATGGAAGCTATATATAATGCACCAATCTTTTTAGTTCTTCAATGAACATAAAAATGTCTCGACGTTAGATCTCCGCCCTTACGTCTTTATATTTTGTTACTCCTTGCAATTGTTTCAACATTAAACACCATAACTTTCAAACTCAAAACTACAGTTATTTCAACATTTATTTAAAAAAAAATATTTGAACCACAGTTTTGTACCTAGAAACCCGACAATATAAATACCAGCCTAAGCGGTGCCACTAGTAAACTTCCAAATCAACACCTTTAATAAATTGTGGTGCACAACAACAACAACATCAGAGGCTGGCTGCAATTTACCCAAAAACAACAACTACAAACAGCATCCATTAATGCCAGCGGCAGCAACAGGAACAACAGCATTCATCATCCAAAGGATTTCAAGTGAACTGTATAAACTGAACTTCATCATCAACGGCAGCAGCAGCGGCAGCTTCATCAGCATCGGCATCAGTGGCACAAGTTCACAACACTTGAACGGGAAGTGGAACGGAACATAGCCAACAACATAACATTGAAGAGGGATCCTTGTGAAAACTTTAGAGTAGCTCTCGAACGAGGCATGCAACAGTGCCTCAAATGCAAGCAACGCCAGCTGCAACAACAACAATGGTGTCAAAAGAACAACAGCATCAAATTTACTCCTTTATGAAAATATAAAGCACCTTTGGGTTGCATTCGTCAACACAGTGTCCCCAACGCTCCACCAGCATGGCGTATATTCTCGTGAAGGACAGCCCGGATAGGCTGTTGTTTCTACCACTCTCGGTTGTAGCTGGTGTTGAATTAAAGGTTCGACGTTTTTTTTTCTCTGCTTTTTGTTATCCAATCTCTGGCTGGATGCCATGAGTAATTGTGGGTGGACTGTTATGACCGTTCGTTGACAGTCAACCTCCCGTTGTGAGAGCCACTTTAAGGTTCATCCGTTGAGTGCAACAATACCATTGTCCCAATTCTGTTCATTGAACTTTTCGGCCTGCATCCGATGTTGGGCGAGTAAAAAGATAAACAAAAATACATGTAAAAATTTACTTTGAGCCATGAACAAGTGAATTGGGAGGAAATTTAAGGAAACCAACCAATGGAAAATTGTCTGACGTACAAAGAAATTTAAAATGGTATTTTCTTTTAATGGATTAAATTTGTTTGTTTCTTATATGATCTCGGGGTTTTATTACAATTTTAGATGGCGACTTGTGACTTGTATTCGCGAATATTTGAGATGCTAAAAGTTATTTGAATGCAAAGTACCAAAGCATAAGAAGTAAGGAAGGATCAAATGACGGGCTGGCCCTCACTACTTTGCATGTTTAGTATAGCTCCCTTAAAAATAAAAGCTTATATCGGGAATTTAAGTGAAGTAGATCATACCGAATGCTTAGTATATAGTATAGACAATATTATACTTCAAGGAATATCATCTATCTAGTCTTCTTAAATACCATATTTGAAAAAGTTTAGTGGGTAAATGTGACTAGGATTATCAAAATACGAAATTTCAAGAGACAGACAGGCGCACATCGCTAAATCGACTCAGAAATTTAGTCTTATTTTGAATATATGTACTTTATGGGGTCTTGAGGAATATTTAGGGTTGCTACAAACGGAATGACAAAGTTTATATACGCTCCATTTTAAGGTGGAGGCTATAGATACAAGGTGAGATGACAAAACTGCGACCAAATTCAGACTGCTGTCGAGGAAGTGGACTGAAGAATATAGCAACATTAGCAGATATGGTTCGTAAAGTAAAGAAGCGACTTGATCGAAACTCGCGTCGCAGTGGCCGAAAAATGGCTAGTGAGCTGAACATATCGCAATATTCCATTCGGAAAATATTGAAAAATGAGCTCGGGGTTAAGCTATTGAAATTCTAAAAAGTGCAAGAACTAACACCGCAACAAAAAGAAAATAGACTCAAAAGAGCTAAAGAGTTGCTTCGCTTGGCCGAAAGTGGTGAACTACCGAATTTGGCTTTTTTCGATAAGAAAACATTCGTCGTCCAGCAGTTTGTAAACAAACAAAAATATCATATTTACTTGCCAAAGAGGTCAGCTGCCAACTTAGTTTGGCCAACAGAACTCAAGCGCCGGCCATGGTGATGGTATGTGCCGCCATAACAGCCGATGGTCGCTCTCCGCTCGTATTAATCGACCGTGACATCAGAATAAAATATTGTCTAGGGTGTATTAAAGCCTTGGGCACGCAAACATTTTGGTCTCAGACCTTGGACATTCAAACAGGACTCAGCACCATCGCACTCAGCACGCGTCACCCAAGAATGTTTACAAAAAGAGGTTCCTCGTATCATTTTCAGCGCACAATGGTCACCAAAATCTCCGCATTCAAAACCGTTGGACTATTGCGTCTGGAGTATTTTGGAAAGCAAGGTTGGCACTTAAAAATATAGAAGTGTCGATCTCCTCAAGCAAGTGCTTCGCCAGGAATGGGCCAAAATACCGCCGTTTGAAGGCCATAATTCGTGCCAAAGTTGACTAATTCGAACAAATATAAATTTATTCTAAAATTGGTGCTATTTCCGTCTTTTTTGCTTTTCATTCAATAAAATTTAAAAAAAAAATGTAAAAATGTTGGCTTTTGACTTTGTTTCATTTTTTATCTCTCCCTGTAATTGTACGGATAGAATTAAGGTGTTTTGGTCGCATTTAGGACTTCGCAGTAGAAACACGGTAATACACATTTTTAATTTTCACCCCCTAAGTATTTGGAGACCTACGCCCGTGTTGTCGCATAATTAATTGTGTGCAATAAACGAAACATTTATCCAAAATAAATTCTTTCTCCGCCCAACAACTCTAACGACTGTCATAAACTCATTAATAAAAGAATTGTTAGCTTTCGCTGCTATCAATAATTCAGTTTATTGGTTTTCCCGTTGCTATAATTGTGGGTGATGTTTTTTAAGAATAGCTCAGAAAATTTCCCTACTAATGGGTTAATTTCATGTTATAATACAAAAAACTATCACAAATGGGGTTGTGTAAGCCGACTATTCGCTTTTCTGCAAAGGACTGTCAAATATAATACAATATGGATTAGTACAAACGGTCCAAAACTGAATTACGAAGTCACTCCGGATACTTTCGCAGAAGAAGCGAACATATTGATGGCAGTAAAACTTCTTAAGACCTATAGCGTATTTTAAGCAGAAATACTATCTATAATAGTGACATCATACATCGAACTACATTAGTATTCATATAAAAAAGTTGACAAAAGTGCCCCGCCGAAATTGATCAATTCCGTCAGAGTACTGGCACATCTTAAAGGACTCTCCTACTCTTTTGTGACTTCATGAAAACCTCTAATGTTTTACTGTCAAAATTATTACCATTATATTTAATCAACCAAATTATCTACGATAACTCTCATTTGATAGAATAATCGTGTTATCAAAGAGTGCAAACTAATAAAGTTATTATGAATGTTATTCAAAATTAGCACAAGAAACAAATGAGATAAAATCCAATATTTTAGCAAAGGAAAGTTTAGTGATTGGTATAGAAGTATGGGTATATATGAAAAATGGTCACATTAAGTAGTAGACTTACCCAATTATTTCTGTTATCAAAATCTTGATGATGTTTCTGGATTGTGACATACGAATTTGTGAATTTTTATCAAAGCAAATGTTTTATCCAATTTTTGTAAATTTACTAAATCTCCGAACATTGAATACATTTTGTCATCTTTGCGGTCATAAGCAAACATATCGGCTTCCTTATAGCGTCAAAATTTCTTCGAAAATATGTATATCTGAGGAAATTTTTGACTTTCCGCTTAATAATCTTAGCATTCTACGTGTCTTCTGAATGGGTATAATATTTTCTTGAATGCATGGTATTTTGATGGTTTTTCTTTGAAGAATACTTATTAAACAATCATTTCAAATTTCAAAACTTTCTCTTTAGAAATTTTCTGTATGTCAAAATAAATTTTCGTTTGGACTACTACTCAAACAAAAAAAAAAAAAAAAAAACACTCCTACGGGGCCTGAACTAAATTTAGATCGACATTTTAATCAAAGACGTAAAATGATGAAGACTGGACAATCAGAAAAATAGGCGCTGCTCATAAAAGAGATATGTTAGCATCATCATTATTTCAGAGCAGTTTAACAATAATATTTTTCTGTAAATGTTCTAAAATTTTGGACTCAAAATTGTATATGCCCTTGGTTCTTCATTTTGTTTTTTACTTGTCCTATCTTTATACTTCAATGTATTTGGTTTATTTGGCTTCAAGCAGGTCTTGAAGTTGGAAAGAATACTACTTTTGAGAACAATTTGTCAACTAACTGAGAAGCTTTTACTTTACTGTGATTTGAATTTCTTTACATTTCAAATCAAAATATGTTTTCTAACAGAAAACTTAGTTGCCAGATGTCAGGCCGACCTTATTCTAAAATAATATTCTAATATAAATATTCTAATTCTAATATTCTAAAATAAATTGTCAATAAATATGTCGACCAATTTCATCCATAGTTGCTACATCGTAATATTACTGTCAAACTTAGATCGAGTTCGGATATGGGCAATATCGGTCCACTCCTTCTGGTAACGTCAAAATTTTCAAAGAAAATAATTTATTGCACAGAAAGAGAAAAGCTAACTCGATTTTACTCCAACTTTTGAGAAACGTTGAGAAAATGAACAATATCGGTCCACTCTTTTTGGTACCTCCCCCACAAAGGGTAAACATTTTGAATAATTACAACTCTTATAAAATGTGATTTAAGAGTACGATTATCTTCAATTTTCACACATCGCAATAATTTTATTAACCCAAGGTCTGGTGCCAAGATGGAATACATCGGTCCACTCCTTCTCCATCGGTCTCCTCCCCCACAAAGTTTAAAGAAGGCGAATTCTCCTCAAATTTCACAAACACAAACATTTTTGCTAATACAACATCTGTTGTATAAATTATGATATATACCTGTGAGCCCCTTCTGGTACCTCATTCACAAATGGTCACAATTTTCAATACTTTTATCACAAAGAGTAGGAGATGCCTTTAAGATGTGCCAGTACTCTGACGGAATTGATCAATTTCGGCGAGGCACATTTCTCTACTTTCTCATATGAATACTACTGCAGTTCGATGGATGATGTCCCTATTAGAGATAGTATTTCTGCTTAAGATACGCTACAGGCCTTAGGAAGTTTTACTGCCATCAATATGTTCGATTGTTCGGTGAAACTATCCGGAGTGACTTCGTAATTCAGTTTTGGACAGTGTGTACTAATCCATATTGTATTATATTTGACAGGATTGACATCCAGTTCTATAATGCAGACTATTAGCCCTCGGATTGTAATTGCAAAAATATTTTATGGAAAAAAAATTAAAATAATCGCCAACAATTATTTTTAGGCTACACAATATTACATTATTTCATTTTTCAGCCCATAATTCTTCTATGACAATTTATCGATTATCTAGTGGTTAAAGTGTATATGTTTTTATAAGAACGCAAACAATTCCGATTTTGACATAGTTTTTCCCAATTAAAATTACAAATTACCATTCGGTCCCCATCCTTTGCAGAAAGGAGAGCAGTCGGCTTACACAACACCGTTTGTGGTAGTTTTTAGTATTATAACATGAAATTAACCCATCAATGGAGAAATGCTCTGAGCTATTGTCTAACAAAATCACCCACATTATGGCAACGGGAAAGCATACAAACAGAATTTTGGATGACAGCGAAAGCAAGAAATTCTTTTATTAATGATTTTATGACAGTCGTTAGAGTTGTTGGGCGGAGAAGAAATTTATTTTGGATAAATGTTTCGTTTATTGCACACAATTATTTATGCCAGAATAAGGGCGTAGGTGTATTAATATTTAGAGGGGGTGAAAATAAAAAATTAATAATCGCAGTTTGGTGCGGTTTATGGGCTGATGGCGTCATTAAATCGTACCGTGAAATGGTAAGCGTTACTGTAAAATAATATCCAATTTTTTGTTCAAAATGCAAGAGATGTACTTTAATGAAATTTGGTTTAACAAGACGGTACCACACAGCACTCGTAACAATGGACTTTTTGATAGGAGATAACAACCGAAATGTTCGAAATAGTATGTCAAAAGTCGAATAAGTCGCGCTATATTTTAAGTCAATTTATAGGTATTTCCGTGAGGGTCTTTTGCTGTGCATAAATTTTATACAGTAAAATTTCAATAAAGGTCCATGCTTCGGTTAGCACCCATATATGATTTGGTTTAAATTTGTTATTTGGGTTTCCTCTAGGGGGAAAATCGATTTTAAAATTGTACTACAAGTTTGGTAACAAGTGCACGAAAGGTACTATATTTAGTACAATTTGACATTATGGTCGCTTTTTATGTGTAGCCTGGACATAGGTGTTTCGACATAGAGGCTTCGAAAATGTGTACTATAATTGCACGAAAAGTACTGAATGGTACTATATTTGGTATTTGGTTATGGGAGAGAGATGCAAAATTCTGAAATTTTATATTTAGATTACTGATGGTGTCTGTGTTTGAGATATACATTCTACTTTTGTACGAAAAAAAGTACTAAATGGTACCAAATTTTGGAATTCCAAAATTGCATACGAAGTATGATGTTTTGATCAAAAGATTTTGTCAGACTGAACAAATTGTGCATTTTGAGTACTAAAAAGGCCTTACACGAACTGTTGGAACGAATGCTTGCTATTAACATTATATACCTTGATTGTAAGAAAAATTTCAAAATATGATGAAGAGGGGGAACTTTCCTCCAACATAGGCTACTTTGGATTGTAAGCTTTTAAACCTAAATTTTTAGCTCTACTTTCATGATTTATTGGATTCGTTCCATATTTCCCCTGGGTAAAGGGTATCAAAAATTCGACCAGTTGGCCGATCCTGGATTAATAATAATAATAACACTACTATTTACGATAAAGTAAAGCACATGTGGGATATATAATTTGACTTCTTACATAATTGGATTTCTACGTATTCATATGCTCTCTGTAGTGTTAATAGGAATTCATATTTAAACATTTAAATAGTACCAAATTTGCTGTCTCTGCGAAATCTGCATCAATCAAGAGGTGTCCTTTTGGTGAATTTTTTATTTCTCCGGGAAGTGACTACTTACTTACATTAAATATTATCTGGCTTCTTTCCTGTCCTAAGCGTTAACACCCTGAAAAGTTACGCGTTGATTGGTCTATAATTGTCAACTGTAGAGCGACTGCAAAATTAAGATCCATTTCATATACATGCCTAAATTGACTCATAATGTGATTCTCTGTTCCTTTTGCTAAAAAGCAGTAAGTTCGGCCGGACCTAACTTTGAATACCCTCCATCAATTGAAACGAAATGTTAAAAATAATAATAATAATAATAATAATAATAATAATAATAATAATAATAATAATAATAATAATAATAATAATAATAATAATAATAATAATAATAATAATAATAATAATAATAATAATAATAATAATAATAATAATAATAATAATAATAATAATAATAATAATAATAATAATAATGGTGTTCTTAGAAGGCGCACTTCTCATATTTTTTCACATTTGACTTCTTCTGTTGAATGTAAATTTCAACTATTTCAGAGCGCTCGCGTGGCGTGTATTGGTTCTTGGTAAAAATCTGCTTGGACTGACGCTTCAATAATAATAATAAATAAATAAATAAAAAAATAGAATCCATTACAAATTCTGTTAATATCTGAAAAATATGTTCAGGGGCTATAGGAAGACCTAGATCTGCATAGACAATTTTCTGTCATAGGCTGTAGTACCCATTGCGAATGTCAAAGAGCAAATCTGAAAAAAATCGGTGAATAGTGTCGGTGAAATCAGCAAAATACCGAATATAGGGAGGTACCGTTATGTGGGGGCTATACGAAGGCATGCGCCTGCATAAGTAATTTTCTGTCATAGGCTGTAGTACCCATTAGGAACTTCAAATACGAAATTTGAAACAGATCCGGTGAATAATGTAGCGAAAATAATCAACATACCGAATATAGGCAGGTACAGTTATATGGGGGCTATAACGTGGACCTTTATAACCCAAACCCAACCCAACCCAATACCAAAAGCCCTGCAACCTACTTCAATTCGTTTGGAAGCTAGAGTGCTTTCCGCAGATGGGCAGACGGACGGTCATCGTTAAACCGACATAGAATTTCATGCTGATCATATACTTTGTGGGGTCTAAAATGTATATTTCGAGGTATTATTAATATACCCTTCATACTATGGTGGAGTTTATAAAAACAAATGCGCAAAGGCATAATACTCTGTAGCAAAGTAAGCTATAATTTTAAAACTTATAAATTGATTTTAGTGCTAAAATTATTGAATGAATTCTATAAAAATCCCATTTTAAGCCTTAGCGTTCATTTTCATTTAACTACAATTATAACTTTCCTTTATTATTCCTTTTTTGCGGAAAAGCAAATATTTCCTAATCCTTTTGCCATTTATCTCCTTTTTTCGTTCAGGGCATTACGTTGACTTAACATCTTACTTTTTGGTTATTTACACTCAACCTTTGCTCTGTAAGTGTCCAAAGTTTATGAGAGGTTGAATGCAGTCTAGTCGAGTATTATGCTTCTTCTGTGTTTTATCAAGATTGTTTTACGGTCACCTTTTCAAGTAACCTATTTCTGCATTAAGTCTTTCAGGGATTCTATTGTCAAAAAAGTAATGAATGAAACATTAAGATTTCATTAACCCTTAAGTCGGTATTATGGGGTTGTCATGGTCTTGGAGGATGATAAAAATCAATGAGAAAAACAAAAAATGGTATGCTCTTTGCTCAGTTTAAAGTATTTTTGTCACATTGGGCAACATCCCTTCAAGTTCACTTGAAGGACTAAGCTCCTTGAAGCATCATTGCTTTATGGGTTAAGAGAATGGTAGAAAAACTAAACACCTT